ATGCAACAATGTGAGCAGATTCGCTTCTTCATACTTCTTCTCAATATCCTTCCTGCTGAGATCATAGCTCGAACTGAAAGAATAATCAAATGATTAACAGACAATCGCTGTAATGAAACGATGAAGTCGGATAAATCTAGCAGACTTCAAACAGAAATTGAAAATTTGAACTCACTTAATTGCTCACGTAAAAGTGCACACAACTCAGAAAAAGTTTTCAACAAATTAAATTGTTTCGAAAAATATGCAAATTTAAGGCAATTTTGAACTTAGATTAATTATTCAAACTAGCAAATAAAAACATGCTTAAGCAATTGGAATCAAAAAATAAATGAAGCATACGGGATAGATAGTTTTAACTTCTCATCAGGGACACAATTTTCATCAGTGTTTATTGACTCTCACATTATCTGACACTCTACCCACCAATTAGAAGTACAGCTAATCTGACCTCCCCCGATAGGTAGTTTTAACTTCTCATCAGGGTCACAAGAAAAATCATGAATGTCAATCAGGTGAGCATCTCTAGCATCCATCTTGTAATTCTTTCGCCTAAAAATTCGAATCTAATAAACAACTAGAAATACTTCACCTAGCAAATTGAAACCAGGAAAAAGAAAAGTGTGCACTGTCATTAAAGGTTAAGTGAATGTTGTGGTTGACCTGCGGAGGGAGATGCAATCGAGAAGTTGAAATTACTGCTAACTGATACATCAATATCACTCCAGTAGTGTTACTACCTGAAAAATTGAAAATGAAGCTGATCTGGTCGTCTTAGCTTCTTATAAAGATCTCCAAAAAAAATCAGAAAATCTTATTCCAGCAAACATTTTCGTCTTTGTGATTCTTTCGGCTTCTACAATTCGGATGACAATGAAGAAAAATGAAAACTTACTTAGTCAAACTCCACTCATATACAAAGAATAGTTAGTAGCAGTCTTATCAGTGTTGATGCCAGTACTTTTCCGTATTAGTTACAATAAGTCGAATCGTTCCAGATTCAAACTGGGATATATGCTTCCAAAATGATTATATGGGTATCAGTAAATAATATTATTTAAAATTCTGCGTGCTTATATACTCATTTATTTAGATCACATCAATTTCAACATGATCTATAGTTAAATATGATCTAATCAGAGGTTTGGATAAACAAAAATGATCATTTCAATAAACATGTGACTATGAACTCACATAAGATCACAAAAAATATGAAAATTGAGTGGATAATATCCTAGTAAAAAGTTTATGTAATCAATCAACTCAATCAGTTTACGTATTTACATATTGAAATCGAAGCATTCAAATTCAGAAAATAATAAGACCTGACGAAATGATATTTTAATTAGAATAACTAGACTAGCTAATCATTTTAGTACGTACTTAGACTATATTTCAGCTCTGCCTTTAGACTGAATACATATTTGTGCAACTTATTGCTCACTTGAACTACTTAAATATTTCCACTGTTTTTTTGCTCGATTAATTGCATCATATTGATAACTTCAAAATTTTTATGCTTTGAAGCTAATATATTAAAAACATTTTAATTCATTTTAATTGTCGTCTGTTATTTCGAGGCATATTTAAATTTATATTTTGATCTTATCTAAAACTTTTTGCCTATGATTTTTGTGATTTTTTCGTTGATCACAAATTCGTATTGTATATAGAAATGGTAATTTTGGAATTATTTGCTCGGTAAAAGTAAACCAAAAAGGGATAGAATTAAAGTTCTCAACTTGATATTCATTTAGCATAAATTTTAGTACACTATATTTCAATCAGTTCTTATTAATTAACGATTTTTAAAATTTTTATTTACATTTTTTAACAATCTTCTCAATTTATTGGCTGTGAATTATTACAATTTTTTGAATATCTATAACTAAATTTTGATAATATTGTATTTAAATTATTCGTATATGTCACTTATTTATGCAAAAAAGCAATATTTATCAAAGATATATATATAATCTAAAAAAAACTAAATAGGATGATCAAATTTATTTATTTATTAACAATTTTTCAGATTGTTAGTAAAAATTACTCTTAGAAGCTTTTTCAATTTATTATCATAATTATTACGATAATACTATAATAATTACGTCACTGCAGTATTACTGTATTCTATAAATGGACTATTAATATGTTCCATTGGTCTTTTTTCTGAGAAAAGCTCTAAAAAAGTTCAGAACATTTTCGATAAATGTTCAGAATCCTAAGGAACAAAAAGAAAATAACGCTATTTAATGCTATAGAAGAAGAATTAGCAAAAATTGTTCGGTTATTTTGTATAAATTTTCAGTGAATTTTTTGAAAAACGAAATTATTATTCAATATTCATTATTTAATATTCTTTAGTTTCAATTAAAAAACTTTTACACCCGCATAATTTTTAATTTTGTGACAATTTCGAACAAATAAAATAGAAATCAAAAATAATCAAACAAATGAGTGGGATAAAAGTTTTCATTGTGAACAAAGCGTAAAATCTCGTAGTGAACTATTTCAAAGCCTCGAGTGGATCAGGTCTCACGCTTCACTATGCCCCCGAAATCAAAGTAGGTAACGGTTCCTTCGGTATATTTGAGTGATAGCAAAATGTTTAATAATGAAATCATTATGCTTACCGATACATTTGCGTAGATCAAGTTAGCGAAATATAAGCAGTAATTTCGTTAGGACCTAATTATGTAGACAACAGGAATTTCGCGACGAATGAAGTATACGGTCTTGTCAGTTTTGATTGGCACTTCATTTTTCAATTTTTTACTGCCAAAAATGGAACAAAACTAAAAAATTGTGCTGTTTCGTCGTTTGAAATCCTTATTGAGTGATTATATGTATTGGAATTCAATATTTATTCGCTTACACATAGAAAACTTTTTCTTTTTATATATAATTTTAGATATGTGATTGTACAATTAGCTAGTGTGATATCCGGAAGCACGCGTATGTGGATACGTGAGCGTTCTGCTGATAAGTTTCGTGGTATATTTTATGATCCAGCAGGTTATTGATTTCTTTTGGTTTACTTTTACACTCTTGTTTTTATCAATTTTTTGTCTGGATAATAACAGATAAGAAGCAAATAATGAATGTTTACATAGCACTGTGAATTTGAATTTCAGTCATTGTGATAATAAGGTTGATAGTGATTTGATAGAACTCTCATTGCAAATGGTGGTAAGAATTTTATTTGAAGATGTAAGGAAAGATCAAAGTATTCTTAAACAAAATATCGGGCAAGAATGGATGGAATACATTCCAATATTATTTCGAATCTGTATCTTGTCTTCTTAATGACTACATGATAGTGGGAGCGAATAAAAGATTTTTTTCCAATGAAACATGGGAAATTACATCAGTAAACAAAGATAGTGGAACAAAGAATATTAACTAGTTTTGAAAGTTCTTAAACTGGTTGATCAAAAAGTTAAGTTAGGTTAGACACTGGTCCCAAATTTGAACATTTCTGGTAAAAAGTAGTAAATATTATAAACCCTCAACTTTCAACAAATGTAGAAGAGTTTTTCAGATCTTTTCTGATCTCTACTTTTGCAGTATTTGATCACAGTCATAGCTCAGGTCAAGGACTATTTCATGCTCTCTGTCCAAATTCAGATTTGAAATATCTTCTCTAATTTTAATCACGTTTTAAATATCTTGCTTACAGACTTTACTTTGATTTCAGTTGGACGTGAAGTATTATTTGAAGAAAAGCAGAAAGTGAAAGGGAAAGCATCCTTGCAAGAGAATGTAAAGAAACGTTTTAATCTGACGTGAACTGGTTTTAGATATTTTTGAATTATTTATTTGTATAATTATTGACTGGCCAGCTATATATTCACATCGTGAAATGTAGTTTTCTGAATTCGATTTGCATATTTTGCATTAGATGTCATAGAAGTCTTTCAGATAGATTGTTATTATAACAATGGCCATAATTTGCTTTTAAAGCAAGAATTGCTACTTTGTAACTTCTATAAAGAATCGTTCTCTCTCTTTATTCTAAAACTTTTACGTTTTCTTCATGGAATTTTGGATTTTTCAGATTTAGACTGGGACGGATAAAGTCTTTTATGTCTGCATATATCTTCACAATTTAGATAAAAAAATATGAATGAATGGTTACTTTTTTTGCTGGCCAAAAATATATCAAAAAATATGTACTTCTATCATTGTATTCAAATCTAGCATCCGTTACGAGCAAACTGGTAAATGTTTCAACGCGATCATTTATTCCAAATTATATTCGATAACAGATTATCAAATTGTATCATTTTTTCAAATTCTTAGTAACTAAACTTTGTAAAAATGCACTTTGCTTTCTTAATAAACATTAGTTTTTGACAGTCTTATAATTATTAGTAAACATTTATTTGTTATCGAAAGAGGTGTAGTATTTTGTGTTTATTAATATGAGTACAACTGTGTATTGAATAAAGTATTATTTCAATCATTTTTTATGCTTTCAAGCTTGATTTCAACTTGCTGTATCCTTTTTTGTAGTTCTGGTTCAATTGCTATTTTAGGATTGAATCTATTTTTGGTAGTAGTTCGCAGTTATTTGTTATATTGCATGAAGTATTGATTCTATTGAAAAAAATCAAAACAGATTAACGTGAATTGTTGAAATTAAAGAGCTAATTTTTTAAGATGGAAGGTCTAAAATGGACTGGCTTTGCTGACTATTTTGAACAACAGACTTGGGTTACATTTTTGATTACATTATTGGTGATACTCATCCCAATAATTGCATATATTGTGAAAAAGAAGTTTTCACGAGGTGATACAGTTCTTATTACTGGTCTGTGTGATTCTGGGAAAACGGTGTTATTTTCAAAATTGATTAATCCAAGTAGGTGTTCTTTCGTGAGTTCATTTCCTGATATGCTTTATTTAAGAATTTTCAAAGCCATTTCTTATTTTCTCAAGTAGTGGTTCCACTTTAGTCAATTTTCTGTGCAAAATGTAGACTAGTGAGACTAATGACGATGGAAGTAGATCATATACAGTAATAGTTTTTTGTTGATTAGAGAAATGATGCAGCATAAAGCTGTGAATTTTTTTTTAAACTAGTGGAAAGTAACATTTATAGTTTTGAAGTGTAATTTTATACTGCTTACTACTTAATTTCTTGCAAAGATTCATTTTGATCTGAAAAGAGATGAGTTTTAGAAGAACATACTTATGGATTTATTATTTGTGTATTCATTTTTAGAATACAGTCCTGATACTTTTGCATCTTTAAAAGAGAACGTACATGAGAATTTTCAAGTTGCCGAGAAGTTAGTTACTATAGTCGATTTTCCTGGCTCTGAAAAACTTCGAAGACACCTTTTTGAAAACTATTTTGAGAAAGTAAGTCCTGTCGGTGGTTAATGATGTTAATTTTTGTTTCTGATATTGTCCGCTTTTCAATCATATGGTCATAATTTGCTAGCGTACCTTCAATGAATTTAACATAGTAAATCATTGTAGTGGTTCAAAAACTATTTATTGGGGATTCAATAAGTGGGCGGGAAAATTATGTTTTGTTCCATTGTCTTGCTCTTAAAGCTGTGAAAAGCTTCTAATAAAAAGAAAATTTTTGTAGAAACTAAAACTATAATATTACATGATAAGATTTCTTATTGATTTCAGAATCAGAATAAATTAAGAGGAATAATTTTTTTGGTCGACAGTTCGACATTCAGCAAAAAAGCCCGAGATGTTGCAGCTTTCCTTTATGATATCTTATATGAATCGGATAAGAAAATCCCAATACTCGTAGCATGCAATAAACAAGACTGTCCTTTTGCTAAAAGCGCGCTAGTATCTTGTTTTCCTCCTTTTTTCTTGATGGAATTTTTCAAAACTAATATCTTTCTAAAAATTAAAAAAATAAAGTCCATAATCCACTAGTTTTTCTTCTTTAGTGCACTTAAAACCATCTTTCAAAATCATGGGGTCGTAATGTAGTTTTTTAAAGCATTGATTATAGGAATACTAATGAAAAATTCTTTTTTTAACTGACTAGTGTAATTTTGTTCAAGTGTAGAATTTCTTAGGCTGTGCGGACAGCGTTAGAGCGGGAGTTTGGTTACATTAATGGAACTAGGGGAGCAGCACTGGATTCTATTGATGGAATAACAAAAAAAAGAACACTTACCACTACAGGTAATTTTTTCAATTTTTGTTGTTTCAGAATAAACAGAACAATACATTTGCTACAGATTGTTGATATATTCTTTCTTGAGAACTATCGATTGAATTTATGCCTCGACATGGTCAGATATACTAATCTCTTTCGCTTAGCGTTTGTGGAAGTTCGTTACAATCCCATTCCAAGTCATCACATACGTAATTATTTTGGTCCTGCATTTCATCTCTGACGCAAGCTCATTAGCAAGCAGGTCATATTCTTGGCTTTTTCTCGGTCTTGACTGCTGTCGACCCGTCTTGACTAGTCATCCCAGCCTCGAGGATTACTTCACGTGGCTTCTTATCGTATATAATGTTATCCTGTCGATCCGCTTTTATTCTGATTGCAGTTCTCACTCGCATATTGACTCTGATCTCAACATTCTCATTCGCGACGACTTTCTGAACAGAATGGCTTCACAAGCGCGGGAATGCTTTCAGACCATACTTCTTGCAGAGTCCTAAGTGGATGCATCGTAGGACCTCATTATGTCTTCTAGTATAGTCGTGATGTAACATTTTTTTGCACTGCGTTACTATATGATCCACTGTCTTCACACGTTCCCCACAATGTTGGCATATACCTTTCTCATCTCCAAACATATTTCTATCTTGGAGATAACAGTATCGTGCCTCAACTTGTTGGGTAATGTTTCCATATCGCAGCCATTTTGATGAATCAACTGTGGACGAGATTTTATTCGTCCGCATC